ATTTTTAATTTTTTAATTATTTTATTTTCCATATTACAATATATTTCTTTGTTACTATATTTACTATTACTAGAAAATTAAACTGAAAAATAATAAATAATAAATATAATATAAAAAAATTATAAGATATTTAATATTTTGCTAATGTTTTATAATTTTTGATATAAAATAAATCTTTTAATGATTATTTAATATTTGATATTCATCTAGAGAAAATTATATGATATCCCTAGACAAATTTTATTCGTTTCTAATTATAAACAATTTGTGTAAATTCTTTTGAAAAATATTTAATATTAGTGATTATTATGTGCAATTAATTAAGTTTGTGACATAAAATAAATAATAAATATTTAAAACATACAATTAGATCTTTTAAAAAGAATTTTTGTCCATCATTTAGCACACTTTTAGTGAAGAGAGACTTCTTACTGACATAATGTATGCTATTTGCAAGTAACCGTTACGAATTTCAACTATTAAGTTAATGTTATTAAATTTTTATAAGAATAATTTTATTATCAAAATTAAAAAAATCGATAATTTATTGTGGACATATTCACTTAAAATCATATAATGTATTCATATATTATTTAATATTAATAATTCTTTCAAGAAGACGTGGAGATTATTTTTTCTACTCTGTTATTTTATGACAAATTATAAAGAAATGTAGTTGTATTAAAATTTTGATATTTTTAGGTAACACAATTCACTATAAGCTATCACTTAACAAAACTTCTAACCTAAAGATTCATATAATATTATAGTTTTATTCTTTTTTTATAAAATATAATCATTTTTAATTTTTTATCCATTGTCATTTATATTGTTAATAAATTTTTTTAATATATTTATTTTTTATTAGTAGTAACAAAGTAGCTTGAAATTATGAATCATCTAATTCATAATATCATTTGTTTATATTTTAAGATTAGCATTGTTATTAGTATTTGTAAAAAATAATATAATGTTAATTTTAATATTTTGTTTTTATAATGAATTGCAATTAGAAAAATGTATTTATTGCTATGCATTTTGCATATTCTTATATAATTTTATTTAGAATTAATAATATTACTTATACGCATGAAATCATATCTTATTACTAAATAATTTATAAATACATATTTTTTATATTTTTATGTTATTAAAATGAAATGTAGATATAATTAAATAATTATTTGAGAATTATAAATAATCATAAAATATAAGATATTTCATATTATAATTATTTTTAATTTATATATATATAAATAATTATAATTATTTTTTAATTTTATAGTAATTCAGTGGCTATTTGCTTAGAGTAGATCCAGTATATAGCAAATATATTTGCTTATTAGGTGCATAATTGGAACATAAGTAGTGCTGCTGTTCATCTCTTGAAGTACAGATATCTATGATGTTTTCATCAGGTCTTAGCTGCAATCTGTCCTTTCCCAGTTGTCTGGGTTATCCACAAGACAACGAAGAATTAATACCAAAAATGGCTAGAGAGCCAATAATTCTCAATGTTTATGATATGGTAAAGTATTTGATTTTTTAAATTATCATATATATCTTGAAATAAATTTCTTATTTTAGTATTGGATAAATGAATATACTACACCAATTGGATTAGGTGTGTTTCATTCAGGTGTTGAAATTTATGGAACAGGTATATTTGTAAAATATTTTTTAAATTATAAATTTTTTAAATTTTATATTGAATTTTTTATGTTCTAAAATTGAATCATATGAATTAATTTAATTAGAATATGCATACGGAGGTCATTCTAAACCAATTTCTGGAATTTTTGAAATTACACCAAGAGTTGCTGAAGAATTAGGAGAGCAGTTTAGATATAGGTAAGGATATTATTTCAGCAAGAATATATTCAATTTATTTTAAAAGAAGAATAAATTTATTTTTCATTACAGACAATCGGTACATATTGGATATACAGATTTCACAGAAGAAGATGTAACAAGAATTGTTACTGAATTAGGAAAAGATTTTAGGGGTGATCGTTATCATTTAATGAATAAAAATTGTAATCATTTTAGTAGTCAACTTACACTTGTATGTATATAAAAATATATAATTATTTTATAATTGATAGAATGCTAATATCATATTTTCATTTTAAATTACAGATTTTATGTGGCCAAGAAATACCAGGTTGGGTAAATCGTCTTGCATATTTTAGTTCTTGCGTACCATTCCTTCAGCGTTGTCTACCAAAGGAATGGCTAACACCCGATGCACTTCAACACTCTTTGAATCAAGTCAGTCATGAAAGTACATCTTCTGAAAGTACATCATCTGATACTTCCTTGTAACATTCGGCCAATTTTTTAAGACGAAGAGATCTAAAATGTCGTAGGAGTTATACCATTTAGAGAATTTATGCGCAAAGGAAGTTTATTATGACAGTAACTGTATCGCCCAAATTATGGAATCTGAGAAACAAAACCGTCAAGATGAGGTACAAATTTGATATTGTACTCTAGAATTCCTGTGGTGATTTAATAATACTGAAAAAATGCCTTTCTTGCAACATGTCGTCTTTTAAATTTTGGACGGCAGTTTACAATGTCGCGTGTGTTCTTTGTTGTATCATATGATCGAAATTTAATAGATATATACTTAATAGATAATTATGTATAAATCAAAGGCATGAAGAGACTGGAACTATTTATTTATTAATTAATCACCTTAATTTTTAAAAAAATTTTTTGCTAAGATTTTATACATAATAATTTTTATTTTGAATTGTATTTAAAAATTAATACTTGTAATATGCAATTTTCTCAAATTATATTTTAGAAATATTCAGTGATGTTTTTGTAAAAATTCAATAACCTGATTTTGACATTATAATTATTTATACTATACATATACATGCGACACCTCTCTGTACAGCTGCCATTAATATTGTTAGGAAATTTAAATTAAAAATGAATTTAATATTTGCATTCATGTAATAAATAATCAAATTACAAATAATTTATTTTTTATGTATGTGAAAATTTACTTCAAGAAGTTTTCTAATATATTTTTAAAAGAACTATTGAATTTAATACTTATAATTTTATAATTCAAATATTTTGAGTCGAACAATTTTGCACCATATGAATATCATAAAGGTGCTCTTAAATTTTGCACAATATAGAATAATAGAATTATAATATTATAATTTCAGAAGCTTTTGCAATATTTAAAATTCATATAATAATTTCTTTTTAAATATCCATAGTACATAAAACATTACTGATGTTACTAAAACTATTGTTGACACCAAGTTTATAATGTTAAATGTTAAAAAAAAAAAGAAAAATTCATAAAGTTATTTGAATAAGTACAAAAAAATTTTGTTGAATGTATTATATTTGTAAAATGTAATACAAGAATCAAGTAACAATTAGTGCCAATTATAACTTTGCGTTAATTCTGTTTTAATAACTAACATTAAAAATTCATATACTACATACAACTTATAAATGTTACCAATCATAAATATGTTATATTTAATGTTATCATGTGAATATCTTTTAATGAATTATTTAAAAAAATTTAGATAAACAATTATAAAAGATAAATTATATTTAAAATAATGCTTTTGTTACTTTATATAACAAATCTGAGTAAAATCATTAATCACCATTTACTTACATAATTATGTTATAGAGAAAAATTTTTAAATTTAAAATTAAATTAATTTTTAATAAAATTATTTAATGCTAATTTATATACACACACACATTTATGTATAAATTAATATTAGATAATTATATATACATATATTTGTATTATATATGTATACAAACATTGTATATATATATATAATACAATATTATTACATATTAATTTGTTTACTTCTGTAATATAATAAAAATTTTTTTTATATATATATGAATTATAATTGGAAAAGAAAGAATTAAATATAATTATTCATTATTAACATTTTATAGATTAGAGCATTTTATGTTTTATATTCCTTATTGATAAATATATTAATACAAAGTTATGAAATGAATTACTTATGCAATATAGAAATGAGAATATTAAAATAATGAAATATATAAAGCACAATATACAATATAAGTACAAAAGCTTATGTATCTTTTTAAATAATCTTTTTTATAATAATATTCAATTTATTGTTTCAGTAGGAATTTTCTTCTTACTGTTAATGATTTTTTTTCAAACAATAAACATTCTAATAACCATTATTTCGTTTTTTTAATTATAATAATGCCTAAATCTAATTTAATATTTTTTAAACCATTAGTAAATATATTTTTATATACTTATATATTATGTTTATTAATACATTTTTTTATACAAGGAAATTAAATTATTTTTTAATAACTTAGCGAATTATGAATTTATGAAACAAAATATATTCTTTCTTCATTCTTATTTTAAGAAGAAAAATCTATTAAAAAAAAATATTTATATTGAATTACTGATTATTTTACAAAAACAAAAATTTAATTTTCTTTTTTACTAATATAATTATAATTTATGCGCTTTAAATAATATACAATGAAATACAATTCTTTATTCAAATGCTTGTAATTGCTTTTAATAAATATTGTAAATAATGCACATATTAGTTATAAATAAATTCATAATATAGAATATATTAAACTAAGTTGCTAAAAAAGATTAATAATCAGGTCATTACATGCACTGGTACTAAACCAATGGGATACATAAATCAATATTAATTGTTACATAAAATATTCTAACAACTCGTAAAAAACTAAAACTATTGAATCATACAATCTATATATGTATACATATAATCATTCTATTTTCGTGCAGAATGCCAGTCGTACATTTTGATTATGCGTAAAAAGAAAGCATAATTATAGCGAAAAATTTACAAAAGAAGATACTCAAAATTTTAATATCATATATGCATACTAAAGAAAAAAAAAAAAAAAAAAAAAAAAAAAAAAAAAAAAAAAAAAA